AAGGCCCAACCTTTCAGTTAGCAGCCCGGCATGTTAACTGTACCACCTAGGGACATTCTTTCTTCCTGTCTCTCTCTGTGTGTCTGGCTCTCCCTGGTGTTATTACTATTAGATGCCATCGAGTCAGTGTTGGCTCGTAGTGACCACATTCACAACAGAATGAAACTCTGCCTCGTCCTGTGTCATCCTCACAATGGTCGCGATGCTTGAGCCCATCGGGGCAGCCACTGTGTCAGTCCATCTGTTTGAGGGCCTTTCCCTTTTTTGCTAATTCTTTACTTTCCCTAGCATGAGATCCTTCTCCAGGGACAAGTACCTACTGACAACATGACCAAAGTATGAGAGACAAAGTCTGGTCATTCTCGCTTCTAAGGAGCATTCTGGCTGTACTTCCTTCAAGACAGATCTGTTCATTCTTTTGGCAGTCCATGATACAGTCTATGTTCTTTGCCAACACCACTATTCAAAGGCATCAACTCTTCTTTGGTCTGCCTTATTCATGGCCCCGCTCTCCATGCATATGAGGCAACTGAAAATGCCATGGCTTGGGTCAGCAAACTTTAGTCTTCAAAGTGACATCTTTGTTCTTAAACACTTTAAAGAGCTCGTATGCAGCAGATTTGCCCAGTGTAATAAGATGTCTGATTTACTACTGACTGATGCTTCTATGGTAATTGATTGTGGATCCAAGTGAAGTGAAGTCCTTGACATCAATCTTTTCTCCATTTACCAAAATGTTGCATATTGGGCCAGTTGTGAGAATTTTGTTTTCTTTATGTTGATATGTAATCCATACTGAACACTGTACTCTTGGATCATCACCAGTAAGTGCTTCAAGTCTTCTTCACTTTCAGCAAGCAAGATTGTATCATCTGCATATCACAGGTTGTTAATGGAACTTGTTCCCTCCTGATGCTGCATTTGTCTTCCTATAGTTCAGTTTTGTGGATTATTTGCTCAGCATACAGATTGAATACGTTTGGTGAAAGGATACAACCCTGACACACGCCTTTTCCAACTTTAAACAATGCAATATTTCCTTGTTCTGTTTGAAAGACTTCTTGGTCTATGTGCCAGTTCCTTAGGAGCACAATTAAGTGTTTTAGAATTTCCATTCTTCGCTATATCATCTTATGATCTACAAAATCAAATTCCTTTGCATAGTCAATAAAGCACAGGTAAACATCTTTCTAGTATTCTGCACTTTCACCCAAGATCCATCTGACATCAGCAATGATATCCCTCTTTCCATACCCTCCTTGAATTTCTGGAGGTTCCCTGTCAATCAATGTACTGTTGCAATTGTTTTTAAATTATCTTCAGAAAAATTTACTTGCATGTGATATTAATGATGTTGTCTGATAATTTCCACATCCTGTTGGAATGGGCAGGATTCCAACCTTTCTTTGGAACAGGCACAAATATAGATCTCTTCCAGTTGGTTGGCCAGGTAGCTGTCTTCCAAATTTCTTGGCATAAATGAGTTAGTGCCTACACATTGTCTCAATGGGTTTTCTGACAATTCCTGGAGGCTTGGTTTTTGCCAATTCCTTCAGTGCAGCTTGGACTTTTTCCTTCAATACTATCTTGCTCACAGGCTACCTCCTGAAATGACTGAATGTTGACCAATCCTTTCTGGTACAGTGACTCTGCATATTCCTTCCATCTTCTTTTGATGTTTTCTACATTGTTTAATATTTTGCCCATAGCATCCCTCAGTATCATAACTCGATCACTGAATTTTTTCTTCAGTTCTTACAGCTTGAGAAATGCTGAGTATATTCTTCCCCTTTGACTTTCCAATGCTAGCCCTTTGTACATTTCACTATCATACTTCACTTTGTCCTCTCAAGCTTCCTTTTTGAAATCTTCAGTTCAGCTCTTTTACATCATCCTTTCTTCCATTCACATTAGCTACTCTGTTCAAGAGCAAGTTTCAGAGTCTCTCTGACATCCATTTTGTTCTTTCCTTTCTATATATATATATATATATATATATATATATATATATATATATATATATATATATATATATATATATATATGTCTCCAATGCATGTCCTAATGTACTTGATTGTCTGGCTTTCTGTATTAGATATTGTCGTTAAATCCACATCCCAAGATGTGACTTAAGACAACAATTATCCACCTAGCTCAGGTTTCTGTGGATCTGCTGAGCGATCACTCTGCTCTGGGCTGACTGTACTCATCTCAGCTGCAATCCCTAATGGGTCACAGTTACCATTGGGTTAGCCTATGATTTCTTCACAAGGTAGGTAGTGGCAGGGTTCCCAAGAGCAACAGAGGAAGGAAGGCCTCAATGTGCAAGCACTTATCAAGTCTCTGCCTGCATCAAAGACATCTCAGTGTCACAGCAGGTCACGTTGTCCCAGATGAATCCCTGTGAGAAGGACTCCCTGAGGTTGAGACTACAGTGACGTGTGAACAAATCAGGGGCCAACAATGAACACTGACAAACTTCTTTCTCAACAAATCTAATCACTGATTCTTATCACTTCATGAGATGTTTCTTTTCCCCAGATACCCCTATATCTGTCAATACGAGAACCTTCCTTTCCTTAGTAATAATATAGCTACAACTATGTTCATTAATGGGGAGCTCTGGTAGCATAATGCCTAAGGCGCTTGACTACTAACCAGAAGGCTGGCGGTTCAAACCCACCAGCCACTCCTCGGAAGGAAGGTTGGGCAATCCTACTTCCGTAGTGATACTGCCTCG